CACACACACACACACACGCCCCGGGCTGCTGGACCCTGTCCATCTCTGAGTTCACACCAGCTCCGCCACTGTTCTGGGCACTGCCGGGGCTGTGGACGCTCAAAGCATAGATCCTCATTAGCATCTGTCTTGGAATATCATTTGCATTTTATTCATTTCATGTCAAAACGCTCAGAACTCTCCCTAGCCCGCACCTCTCCCGGGGCTTGAGAGCCGTGGGCCTCCAGCTCAAGCCTCTTCCCGGTGGGCCGCACATTTGCTGGCGGCCCCCACCCCACTCACCCTCGCGTGGCCAGAGAACCAACAACCATCCGCAGCCCCGACGAGAGGGGCTAACGTCTCCTGAGCTCCTGGCAAGTTCCAGGCCCAGCGCTAAGGGCTTATGTGAAGGAGCTCATTTAGTCCTTACAACAACGCGAAGAGCTAAGCACTACGTTATACCCATTTAAAAACTGAGGAAACTGAGGCACAAAGACGGCTTGCTCAAGGTCACGGAGGTTAAAAAAAAAAAGGAGGCAGCGGAATTGAAATCCAAGGCGGCGGGACGCCCAAGCCGGAAAGCTTAACCACTTCGCCGCCCCGCCTCGAGCAAGGTCAAAGCTAAGGTAACTGCGACAGGATAAAGTAGGTTTTCCTACATGGAAGAAAGTCGTTCTCTGCTCTACCGCGACCCTTCCCCCAATCCGGCCGCGAGGGCACCCGGGCGCACTCCCCGGGCGGGGGCTCGTAGAGCCCCCCTCGTCGGGCCGCCTGCGGTCCTGACCCCCTTCCCAGCGAGGGCTCGGCCGGGTCCGGCCGCCGTGCTTTCGGGGTCGTCTGTCGGCGCTGGCTAGTTAAGAAAAATAAACAACGTTCCAAATGGAGGCGATTCCTTTCAACCCAAGCTCCGCCGCCTGCCAGAGAAATGCAAACAGCGGGGGACGGCCCGAGTCCGCCCGGGCCCCCGCGCCCGAGCTGCGGGTGGGAGGGCCGGGCCGCGTAACCCGAGACGCTGCGCCGGCTCCCCGCGCGCTGCCCTCCGCCTGCCCCTTCGCCCCTGACCCCGCCGGCGGCGCGCCCGGCCCGCGCCCGCCTTCCCCGGCGCCCCCCACCGGGCCAGGACCCCGGCCCGCAGTCCTCGGCGCCCCGAACTAGCCCCCGCCCCCAGAGCCATCGGCTCGATCCCCAGTGCCGACCCGCCACCCGGGGAATCCCAGCCGAGTCCCCCGCCCTCGCAGCCACATGGCTCCCGTCAGCCACGCTCCCCTGCGGCGGCCGCGCGCCAGGCCTCTGTCGTATAGGATCACTGAACACCAAGAGAAAAAAAAAAGGGGGCAGGGGTGTCAGAAACCCGCCTAGCAAAGTATTCACTAGTGAGTTGAGCAGGGTTGGGGGGCTGCTTCCAGATACGTCCCCTCTCCATCCTACGGTGCGCGGCGGGAGAAGCTAGGGTCGCCACAGCAGGGTAAGGCCCCCCCGGGCCCGACAAAGCCGAAGGGGCAGCATAAGCTGGGGCGGGTGCTCAGCCCGAACCAACCAGGTGAGCATCGCTTCTCTCTTTCTCGGGGGCCTGGTTCTCCCCAAGTCCTCCGCGGCCACGGAAATCTGCGTCCCGGGCCGCCAGGGGGAGCTGTCTGGCGAGTGAGGGTGACCCCGCTTGCGTACAAACCGCACTTTAAGGATACGCAGCCAGGTGTGCTGTCCACGCAGGACACGACAGTGCCAACCCCATTTTTACTGCTGCGCGAATGACTCTAGGGAGTCGCTGTGGCTGATGTGCGACAAGGCGTCGCGAACAGTCCTCGGGGCCGGGCGCGAGGACCGGAGGAAATCCTGGGACCCCGGCCCCACGGCCTCATCAACTCGAGAAGGGGTCGCGGTGCCTCTGGGCCTACCGGCCCCGCCATCATAGTGGCCTAGGGATTCGCCGGAGCCTCACGCCTCGCGGCCACATGGCCGGCGTCCCCCCGGCCACTCTTCGAGGGGCCTGGAGTGTTGGGGAGAGGTGGTGGCGCACCCGCTTCCTCCGAATTCTTTCAGCGCAAAACTGGGCGGCGCCGAGATCGGCGGGAAACACCCAGGGTAAATCTCCCTTCTGCTTTGAGAGAGTCGCGGACAAGCGAAGACAGGGACCCCACGGGCTTCCGGTTCCCTTTAGCCCTGGCTCCTTTTCTCTGGACAGGCGTGTCAGTCCGTCGGTCTGTCTTTACTGCGTCCCTGCGTTCGATTTCCGGCTCCAACTATTGGCTGGGTTGGGAGCGGAGAGCTCTCCTGGAAGCAGTGCTCACCCACGTGCGCACTTGCTCGCACAGACGCTCGCGCACACGTCCAAGTCGGGGCCCCGGGTCGCTCGGCGCCGCTGTGCCGCTGAGCTCGTTGGCTGCCGCGGCTCAAACACCTCTCGCGCTTCTGGCATTGACTCTCCCCCGGTCTCTTGACCCGAACTGCAATCAATACTCTCTAACTGTGCTGGGCCGGTCGTTTGCCTCCTCTCCACCCACCCGGCACACACGTATACACCGAATTAGAGATTTTCTTTCTCGCACTTTCTTGAAGGGGCGAGATGTGAAACCGAGAAAATCTCTCTTTCTTCAAGGATTTCCTATCTGGGCTTCAAATGAGTATTTTTCTCCCGTTATAGTAAAGGGGAGGAAAAAAGTTTGTTTAGAGTGTAGGAAAAAGGGAAAGGTAGGCATGAACAGCACCACTACCATCTCTCCCCAGTTTCCTAATTCGGTTCCTTTCCGCCAGCTGAAACCGAGCAATTCTGCCAGGAAGGAATCTGTTCCTTTGGGGTCCTTCAGAAAGGGCTACTTTGGAGACGGGCGATAGATAAATCTGAGCTTCCTGAATTACCACCACGACCAGCGCCCCGCCCAATCATTGCTGCACCGGAACCCTACAGTGTAAATGTGACCTTAAAGAGACCACTAAGGGAGCGGGTTTGACAGCCCAGCTCGCAGTTCCAGGGGGCAGCGTTTGACAGGTCAGCCCTCGTTCTCCTTCCCCCTCCCCCTAGTCCGGTTTTCCTCTTCCATCCCACCCCCGATCCTCGCGTGGGACTCAGAGCCGATCCTGGGGTGAAGACGCGGCTGACAGTTAAATTGTAATGTAGGCCGAGGGGGGAAAAGGGACCGTGTCTCTTTAACGGGCCCTGCAGACAAAGCGTCTCCCCTCGGAGCGAGCGGAGTCGGGCGCAGCCGCGCGCAGACCTGTCAGTGCGTCTCCCGCGCTTGGGAGAGAGTTTGCAAAGTCATAATTATATCTCTTAACCTGTCTTGCTCTCTGCAGAAGAAGGTCCCATTATATTGAAATGAGATTATTAGCCATCAAATACTTTCTTTCTCGGGAGTTTTTTTTTTTTTAATTCAAATACCTTAACGACTTGGCAATTGCATTTTGATCAGATTTAGTTGGCGCCCCAGCCCGGCGCGGGAGCCAGGGCGAGAAGGCAGATGGGGAGGGAAGAGGGGATGCCAAAAGAGTTTGCACAGAGAAACAACCCCTCTCTTTTATCCTTCCCTTAGGTCTCATCTACCTGGTGGGGACCTCTGGATCTGGGAAGGAGGTATGAGATAAGAGAAGTTGGGGCAAGGTAGGGGGACGTCTTCTATTCCCTCCGCTTGGTTGGCTTAAACTACTTTAATGAAAATGGAAAGTGAATTTCAGGCGGGGCGGATGTGGACCGTGGGGCGGGGACTTGGATGCGGAAGTCTGAGGGCTGCAGGAATAGGGGTGGGTTTGGGGCGCCAGGTAAGGACTGAGGCTGCAGCTGTTGGTCTTGTGGGCTTAGCCGTTTCCGCTGGAAGTTGGCTTAAGGCTCTGGCCAGGTTCCTAGTGGATGGAACTTCAGTACGTAATAAGTGGGGTTTTGCTCTATGCCCAAAGTCTGTCTGGCTTTTCCGAAGACTGTGAGCCCCTTGAGGGGGAAGCCCATCTTGTTTCCAGACCTTGGAACCCCTGTCCCTACTGCCAGCAGAGCCCTCCCCCACCCCATCCTCTCCCTGGACTGCGGAGGGGAGAGGGGAGAGAGGAGGAGGCTGTGAGGTGGAAGGCTCACAGGCTCTAATTGTAAAGCCCCTCACTTTGACTTCCCCTGGTGGGAGGAGCCGTCAGGCTTGTGTTTTCCTTGGCTTCAGCCCAGACGCAAGGAAAATGTAGGGGGCAAGACAAGTCCCCAGTCCCACCTCCCCACCCCCACCTCTCACGCATCACATATAATCCTGGTGGGTCCAATCCAGCATCTAGTTCCACCCCATCACCTTCCAGATGAGCAGTCTCTTCAAGTACTCAGGTAGCAAAATGAGGATCTAGAATCCAGAAACTTGGCTTCTAGACCAGGCTAGAGCCACACCACCTTGGACCAGTCAACCCTTGTCTCTGAGCCTCAGTTTTTCCCTGTGCATAATGAAAGCCTTGGACTTGAGATCTATATGGTCCCTTTCATCTCTGACATAATTTTCCTATAAAGAAAGTTCTTAGTACAGGCGTAGTCATCTGGAAGATTCCAGGGAGGTCGTCGTACTACTCCTCTCCTCCCATCTCTTCAGAAAAACACCCGGGGTGGGGGAAGGGCACATCAATTATGGTTTAAAAACCTCCAAATATAAAAAACTTTGAGAACCTTTCAGTATCTACTACAGCTGAAGCATGATGCATACCTATGGCCCAGCGCTTCCATAGGTAAGCTTTGCCCCAACAGAAATGCATACTGTGTTCACCAAAGGACACGTACACTAATGTCACATAGCGCTCTTCACAATAGCTCCAAACTGGAAACTTCCAAATGTCCATTAACAGTAAACTGTGGTATAGTCACACATGGAACACTCTAGAGAAAAGAGAAAGAATGAAATATTGCTACATACAACACCATGGATGATTCTCAACAATGCTGGGCAAAACAAACCAGACACAAAGGGATACATGGTCCCACTCATTCAAAGTACAGAAAGAGGCAAAATGAACCTTTGTTATTAGAAGGCAAGATGGTGGATACTTCAGGAGCGGATGAATGGGAGGGAGTATGAGGGAGGAGTCTGAGCTGATGATGCTCTGATTCTTGATATGGTTCCACAATGTGTTTAGTTTGTGAAAATTCATTGAGATGTGCATCTCTGTTCAATGCATTTCGTGAATATATTTATTTAAGCCTAAAATTGAAAGTTTCTTCTTCCCAATCCTCAGTCTCATCCACATACTCATGCCTTTTTTTTTTTTTATCGGAGTACCGTTGCTTTTCAATGTTGTGTTAGTTTCTGCTGTACAACAAAGTGAATCAGCTATACGTATACATATATCACCTCTTTTTTGGATATCCTTCCCATTTAGGTCACAGAGCATTGAGTAGATTTCCCTGTGTTATATAGTAGGTTCTCATTAGTTATCTATTTTATACATAGTAGTGTATATATGTCAATCCCAATCTCCCAGTTCATCCCACCCCCCTTTCCCCCCTTGGTGTCTATACGTTTGTTCTCTACATCTGTGTCTCTATCACATACTCGTGCCTTCTAATGCGTCAAACTCCATACTGGCAGGAGATCAATCACTAAAGTTGTATTTGGCCCTCCTGCCCTGTGCTGAACACAGCAGAAAATCCACAAATGTAGTTTAGTCCCTACCCTCAAAGCGTTTGCTGTTGGATTTGGAGGCAGATGAACACATAAGAAACAAAAGAGGAATATCCAGTGGCATAAAGTGAGTGGTTTATGATCGTTGTGAGTCCGAATTTGAATCCCAGATCCACCACTCACCAGCTGTGTGACCTTGGACAAGTGACTTCACCTCTCTGGGCTCCAGTATCTGAAATATGGAGCGAACCATACATGTATTTACTCATGGGTCTGTTGTGAGGATTCCTTCAGATAGTCTGGGCAACAGCATGGGCTAAGTGCTCCATAGATGTTAGACACTGTTCTCACCTGGGGTGGTGGCAGCTCTGGCTTGGGCTGCTCAGAGTTCTGAGAAGAGGGGGATGAGTTTAAGTTGGGGGAGGCAGGAAAGGCCTACTGAGTAAGAGTCAGTTTGAACTGGGAGAGGCTGATGAAAGGGGGGCTTTACAAAGATCATCTGGGGCAGTGGTTCTCAGCAAGGGCCATTGGCATTGTCTGGAGACATTTTTAGTTGTCACAACTCACAGTGAGGTGGCGTGGGCAGTGCTCCTAGCATCTAGAAGGTAGAGGTCGGAGATGCTGCTAAACATCCTCCCATACACAGGACAGCCCTCACAACAAAGAATGATCTGGTCCACAATGTCAATGGCACCATTGTTGAGAAACCTTGATCTGGAGGATAGGATTTGGTGGCAATGGGAAAGCATTCCAGCAGGGAAAAGGAAGTCCTGATACAACTGCGGCCAAGCAGCATTGGGGAACGTCCAGAGGTGCCCTTGTTCCAACCTTCATCCCTCAGGCTGCAAGTGCTTGTCCACCTCCCTGAGTTCAGGACTTGCTGAGGGTTTAGAAGGCTCATCCTGGATCCGGTTTCTTTGCTGCTCTTAGGAGAGACTTGGATAAAGCAGAGCAGATTCTCAGGAAATTTGTGAGGCCACAAGTCTTGTTGGAACCAGTATTGGAGGAAACCCCTAAGGTCTCAGGGGTCAGAGGGGGAGGGACTTGTCCACCATCATGCAGTGCAGCTGGGGATGCTGGGACTTGATCCTCAAGCTCTATTCTTTTTTTGTTTTGTTTTTGCGGTATGCGGGCCTCTCACTGTTGTGGCCTCTCCCGTTATGGAGCACAGGCTCCGCACGCGCAGGCTCAGGGGCCGTGGCCTACGGGCCCAGCCCCCCCGCGGCATGTGGGATCTTCCCGGACCGGGGCACGAACCCGTGTCCCCATGTCCCCTGCATCGGCAGGCGGACTCCCAACCACTGCGCCACCAGGGAAGCCCAAGCTCTTCTTGATGTACAACAAGTTAAGGGAGAAGGGATTGCAGAAATTGATTAAATAATCTAGAAGCAGAAAATATGAACTTTTTAAAAGCCAGAAGGAGAGTTGGGACTGAACTTTGGAAATTCCCAAGAGAATTATGTGATTCTCTAAGGACAAATATAATTCTGGGCTCTAAAACCATGCTTTATAGCCATAGGCTTCCAGAAAAGAGGAAATAGACATTGGTTAATCAAAAATTTTCTTTCCTGAAGCAATTTCTATATGCCAGTCATTGTTCTCAACCCCAGGGATACAGCACTGAATAAGAGAGGCAAAGCAACACTTCATGGGGCATATGTATGGGATGGGGAGGGGGTGGGCAGGAGGATGATAAGTAAAACAATATATAATGTAATGTTAGGTATTTAATTGAGCACCTACTATGGGTTGGGTGTTCTTCATAAATATTCTCAATTTCACAAGAAGTTGTTTTTTTTTTTTTTTTTTTGCCACACCCACTGGCATGTGAGATCTTAGTTCCCCAACCAGGGATCAAACCCATGCCCCCTGCAGTGGAAGCATGGAGTCTTAACCACTGGACTGCAAGAAGCCCCACAAGAAGCTTCAAGATAGGAATTCCTTTCCCCAATTTAAGATGGAGAAACTGTGTCTCAGAGAAAGTCAGTGATTTCTTCAGAGTAGAATGACTAATAAGTGGAAGATTCAGGATTTGAAACCAGGTGACCAATCCATGATAAAAAAAAAAAAAACACTTAGTAAATGTATAGGGAACTTCCTTAATCTGATAAAGACTGTCTACAAACAAAACCTTACAGCAATCATCGTGTTTAAAGACAAAATAGTGAAAGTTTCCTCCTTTGGATCAGTATAAGATACAGATGTCCATTCACAACAATGTTCTATTCAACATTGTATTAGATGTGCTAGCCAAGACGAGACAAGAAAAAGAAATAAAAGACTTAGAACTGAAAAGGGAAAGTTGAAATATTATTATTCATAGATGACATGTCATACACAGAAAATCCAAAACACTCTACAAACTACAAGAATTAATATTTGTACTTAGCCATCACTGAATACAAGTGATACACTTAGATAAATCTATACCAGCAACAAAAAATAGAAAATAATATTATAAAAGGAATACAATTGGCAGGTAAATAGCTAAAGAGTATGAGGGGTTTTTTTTTTTGTTTTGTTTTGTTTTGTTTTGCGGTACGCGGGCCTCTCACTGCTGTGGCCTCTCCCGTTGCGGAGCACAGGCTCCGGACGCGCAGGCTCAGCGGCCATGGCTCACGGGCCCAGCCGCTCCGCGGCATGTGGGATCCTCCCGCACCGGGGCACGAACCCGCGCCCCCTGCATCGGCAGGCGGACTCTCAACCACTGCGCCACCAGGGAAGCCCATGAGGGTTTTTTTTAATATTTATTTTTATTTATTTATTTGGCTGAGCCGGGTCTTAGTTGCAGCCTGTGGGATCTTCATTGAGGCACGTGGGATCTAATTCCCCGACCAGGGATTGAACCCAGGCCGCCTGCATTGGGAAGGCAGAATCTTAACCCCTGGACCACCAGGGAAGTCCTGAGGTTTCTTTTTGAAGTGATAAAATGTTTTAAAGTTGATTGTGATGGTTACACATATTTATGAATATACTAAAAACCATTGAATTGTAC